CTCGGGGAGACCGAGCCCTGCGGCTCCCGCTGACAGCAGCGTGGCCCCCGGGCTGGGCGCCTGACTCCGCGGTGGTGGTTCTTCTTTTTCTGCTTCTTCTTCGTCGTCGTCGCCCTCGTCCTCCTCGCCGAGTTTAAAGGACCAGCGTCTGGCAAAGGGAGAAACTTGAGTCAGTGTGTGGGGTGTCCGACGGCAGCAGCGGCTCGATCCTGGCGATTAAGATGAAAAGTAAAAAAGGTAGTTGTGATGGGGCGTGCTCGCCGCTGGGAGAAAGCGGGGTGCCCCGTTCCTCTCCTCTCCCCACGGGAATGGCTTGACCGGGGTGAGTGAGGGTTTTACACTAGTTCAATTTATCCCAATGAAGTTACAATTATTTCTTGAAAGATTGAGTTGACTTATAACAATTTCCCAAGATTCTGAGTTCTATAAACAATTCAATCTTTTGCATAATTTATGAGAACCACACTCCAGCTGTGACTGTTGAATTCACTTCACAAATGTATTGTTTGTGACTATACATATTTAAGAAAAAGAAATCTTCTAGCCAATGTTCAAGAAAGTGAAAATCTAAAGCCCTCAAAGTCTTCATTTAAGTAACCAGCTAAATAGGCAAAATGCTGTGTACTTTTTCTTTCAGTGGCAGATGTTAGAAGCAATTCAGGAAGATGCATGGTCAGAGCAAATAACCGAACCATGAAAAAAAATACTCCTGGCTTTAATAGGCACAAGGTTCGGGTTCTCACAGAGCATTTCACAGATTTATTTTGAACATGCATAATAAAACAAAGAACAGAACAGAGAATATAATAATTATCCTTTACTGATTTAGTTCCTGTGCTTTTCATGGTGGTGAACTTTCTGTTTTCTTTTTCAACAGACTGTAAGTATTTATTATTAAGTTTTCTAACTGCTAGGTAAATAAGGCTCCTGGAGTTTTCTTTGTGTCAGTTCACAGTCAAACTTCATAGTTACAGGATTGTTACTCTTTGCGCTTGGGGTGCTTTAAGTGCCTTTAAATTAGAGCTTGGCCACAAAGACGCGGCACATGCTTTCGGTCTTAACCTCTCTGTGCTGACGGGAGGGAGGCTGGAAAGAAGCTTGGAGCAAAGCAGTGTCTTTTCAGTTGCGATTGACTGGTCTTTCGTGTGGGCGAAGGGTGTTTTGCATTTAAAGACACGTTAAATTGCCCAAAAGTGCAGAGCCAGGGGAGAGCAGTGCGCATGTTCAGTACTCCAGAGTTG